CCGCCGAGGCCTCCTGCGGGGAGAGAGCGGGGTGAGCCCCGCGGCACGGCACGGCACGGCACGGCACGGCACAGGACGCTGCCTGCCCCGATACAGCCTGCCGGCAGCAGCAGCCCGCCCTGTCCCAGGGCAAGCAGGGCTTCGAGCCATCAGATGAAGCTTTTGGGAGCAAACCAAGCCGCGTTTGCCGGAGCAGGGACCTGGTCTGTGTCATCGGGACACGGCGTGGCTGCGCCGGGGCCAGCCCCTGCACCCCGCAGGGCGTCCCGGTGCCCCTTACCTTCCCACAGAGCACTCGGCGCCTACCAGCTCCTGCGTTTCGGGGGGCACAGCCGAGCTGGGACAGTCACCTGCCTCGACGGGGAACCTCCGAGCCTGCGGCGCCCGCTGGGTGCTCATGTCCGGGTCCTGGACGCGTCTGACCGGAGAGGAGTGGGTGGGTGAGCTGGGCGAGCACGGGCCCCCCAGCCACGGTGGGGGAACACGGGGGGACCCCGGCCAGCCCCGTAACGTCCGCGCCGCCCACCCCAAGAGCCCCCGCTCACCGCGAGGGCGTTCCAGCCCGTCCCCCACCTCGTTGCGCGTCCGCCAGCCGACTGACGCGGCGTCGGGTGCATCACAATGGCAGCCCCAGGTTTTAAAAGGTCCCTCTGTGCCCCCCCGGGCGCTGCGGGTGCCGAGATGCTGTCGCGGAGTCGCTGCAGGACGAACTGAGGGAGCGAAGGGTCCCAGCCCGCGCCAGGAGATGGAGGGGTTTTTGCTTGCCAATGGCTACCAGCTCGGCAGGACCATTGGGGAGGGGATGTACTCCAAAGTGAAGGAGGCTTTTTCCCAAAAGCACCAGAAGAAAGTGGCAATTAAAATAATTGATAAGAAGGAAGGCCCAGAGGGTAAGAGCTGACCCCCAAAGAGCTCCAGGCTGAGGCACCATCCTTCCCTGGAGGCTTTTAATTCCCGGCAGAAAGCCGGTTTCCCAAACCGACGGCAGATGGGGGGTGGCCGCCCCTCCGACCGCAAGGCCGGCAAAGTGCTGGCAGATCCCGGCATTCCCCTTCGCCGAGCATCCCTTGGGGAACGGTGCCAGGCCGTAAGGAACCAGGCACCCCGGGAACGCCCTTCCCTCCCTCTGCCGCGTCCCAGAGGGGTGCCCAGAGCTCAGCGACGTCCCCGCGAGCAAACCCGCCTCCTCTCTCGGCAGAGTTTATTCAGAGATTCCTGCCCCGGGAGCTGCAGATCGTCACGCGCTTGGACCACAGGAACGTCATCCGCGTGCACGAGATGCTGGAGTCCGCGGAAGGGAAGATCTGCCTCGTGATGGAGCTGGCGGAGGACGGGGACATCTTTGACTACGTGCTCCACAAGGGTCCCCTGCCCGAGCCCCGCGCCAGGGCGCTCTTCCACCAGCTGGTCGAAGCCATCCGGTACTGCCACGACCGCGGGGTGGCCCACCGCGACCTCAAGTGCGAGAACGCCCTGCTGCAGGGCCACACCTTGAAGCTGACGGATTTCGGCTTCGCCAAGCTGCTCCCCAGGGACCGCAGGGAGCTGAGCTGGACCTTCTGCGGCAGCACAGCCTACGCGGCGCCCGAGGTGCTGCGGGGCGCGCCTCACGACAGCCGCAAGGCCGACGTCTGGAGCATGGGCGTCATCCTCTACGCCCTGATCTGTGCCTGCCTGCCCTTCGACGACACCGACATCCCCAAGATGCTGCACCAGCAGCAGAAAGGCGTCTCCGTCCCTGGGCACCTGGGGATCTCCAAGGAGTGCCAGAACCTCCTGAAAATGCTCCTGGAACCGGACATGATGCTCAGACCCTCCATCGAGGGGGTCAGCAGGCACCCGTGGCTGACCAACCCCTGAGAAGGACTCGCCCTGCTCTCCCCCATCAGAACAGATTGTCATTTTAGAAACAATAAATTTGGAGGTGGGTGTTTCCCAGCCAGCCAGCCCCGCAGGTGGTGTGCCAGGCCTCGGGCTGCCAGAGACAAGGTCTGCTTCGTACTCGGGCCTTTTTATCGGCTCCCTCAAAGCCCTGGGCTGTCAGCGGCGGGGAACAGGGCAGACACGAGCTGCCAGCAGCCTGGGGCAGCAGGGGTTCGCCGTCCCGAGTTCAACAAAGCTGGGTGGGAGGAAAGGGAAATTCGAAGCGGCCGACACGCAGACCCTCTCTCGAGGCAGCCGTCCCCATCCCGCAGGCAAAGGGAATGAGAACACCCGACACAGGCAGAGACTCTGTAGAATTCCTTTAATTGCTGTTAACTGCAAGTCTGTAAAAGGTTTGGAGAAAGTCATCCTTACAAAACTACCAGCTGTTAGAATTGTTCCTGGTTTTCACCCCAGCTAGAAAAGGCTCAGGGAGACGCAGAATAGTTCAGAACAGAGAATATTGCACAGACAACCAAACGGTTAATTTGACTAAAGAAAAAAAAGTGACACAGATGAGAGCGCTGCACCCCTGGAGCTCTGCCGCAGGCCCAGGGACCCGGCCGCGACTCATACCCCAAACCCCGAGGGACCGCAGCCCCGAGCCCCCGCTGCTGTCACCTCCCCGCAGCAGGCTCTCCCGCTACAGCTAAATTTGAGCCCAGGACAGGGCGAGGCTGCAGCGCGTTTGGGAGGCGCTGCGGGGGCCCACCGTACACCAAGCGGGAGGCGAGTTGTAGCTTGGTCCCCGGCCCTTGTGGGTTTTCCAGGACAGAGAAGCGCTCATGTAAGCGCCTGAAGTCACCGCTGCCACCGATCCACCTGTGTGGGCAGCTGCATTTGAGAATCTCCCCAAAGCCGGGGGAAAAAAAAAACCCCACCAAAACCAAAATCGCAACTCTTCCAGGTGCAGCTGGGTCAATGCTATCCGAACCCAGAAGGAAACCCACAGCTCCAATGAAGCAGCCCTGGAAAGGGCAGAAGGACAAAGGCAGATGCGTAAAACCACCACCCGGAAGGCGCAGCGAGGGCTCTCTCCCTTTAGGATAACTGTATATTAGCAACATCCACTGAGGAGCATCTCATGACGTTAGAAGGGAACTGCCCCAAAAAGAGAGGCCTGGGGCGGGCAGGACACGAGGGGGCAGGGGAGCGGACAGACACGGCCCCAGCCAACAGGTACCACCCGCGCTTGGGCGCTTCTGCCTCCCCCCAGGCTGGGAGAGGGAAGGGCCGAGCCTGGGCGCCAAGGCGGAGGTTGAAGTGGTCAGTGGGCCAGACTGGGGCCTTGCGAGGGCTGAACTGGGCACCACAAGGGAGGGGTTCTGCTCCCAGGGTGACCCAAATCGCTGCCTGCCCAGAAGGGCTCAAGTAAGAGCAAGCCACAAGTACTTTGCATGGAGGATTTAACTAGAAGTACACAAAACCCAGAGGAGGAAGGCAGTGCAGCTGCAAAGGGGGAGGCAGCAGGCCTTGGCTCTTAGAGGAGCTGCTGCTCTTGCAGCAGGAAACCCGAGTTTCCATTAGAAAAAGCTTCCAAGACGAAAAGCCAGGCAGAAGCTCAGGGTTTGGCAGGGAGTTCGGCTTCTTCCAGCGTGGCCCAGCTTTGGGTCAAAGCCACAAGCCAACTGCCTTTCTTTGCGGCAACGAGTGGCAGAGCAGAAGGGGCTTCTGCTGCAGCATCTCCAGCCCCCAGCCACTCCCTGCACGGGGGCTTTCTCCAGGGATGGCCTGGCCAGCAGCGCAGAGCGGCGAGCGAGCAGGCACAGCTTGCATCCGAGAACCTTTGAACTGCCGGACTGTAGATTAGGCGCGCGCACAAGAAGCAAACGATCAGCCAGCTGGCAGTCGGGCGGCACCGAGCAATCCTGCCAGGTGTCCGAGCGCCCAGCTCGCCCCGGGGACCCCTTGCTGCATCGCGTCTGCCTCTACCCGACACCTTCGGGGCGGTCAGTTTTGGCTTGGCCGGTCTCTGGGACCTACGGAGAAGACGGGCTCCCTAGCAGCTAAGTGTACGAGCAAATTCCTGCTTCCTCCTCCTCCTCCAGGTCTGAAGCGGTCACTTG